TCCACAAATATATATATTTGAATTTTGCTAAGTACACAGGTTAGCTAAGTGTTAATTTACTGATTTTATGTCCAGTTATGTCTCGTGGTGAATATGATGGCTTCCTATATGCAGTTGAGCTGCTCGGCATTCATCCATCATTGTGGGAAATATTGCTTGTCCCTTGTTCCATGGCCTCTTTTTATTGTCCTTGCACTCACTTCACACATTGGCATTGCTGTCTCCATGTAGGGAACAGCAGAGGTTGCGGGTATGGGTATGGTGAGTATGGGTATGGGTATGTAATTTCAAACCCATACCCATACTTAATACCCATGTGCAATCCTCAAGCCCTCCAGAGAGCTTTGAAATCCTATTTTTTTAAGTTGCCAAAATGGCTGAGTTGGTAACCTGATTATCAAAATTAATGTTGTAGTCCACTAGGCCATTGGTTCAAGCCAGGGAGTAGCCTGAAAATACTTGAAAAATTGTTCAAAACCCACAAATCCATGAGTAACCCATAACCCATCTGCCACTAATTGTACCCAAGGAAAAAACCCATACCTGCAAAAAGGGGTATGGGTATGGGTAGCCCCCAGAAGTAGCCATGGGTTACCCGTGCTGTTCACTATCTCCATGTGTGTCTTGACTTTAAAGATTCCAAGCGCTTGCAGACATGTTGGCAAAGAGCATCCCACAGTAACACTACAAGATGTGATGAATGAGTGCTGAGCAGCTTAACTGTATTTATAAATATTCACCACAAGACATAACTGGACATAAAATCTGTTAATTAACACTTAGCTAACCTATGTACTTAGCAGAATTTAAAAATATATATATTTGTGGAAGTGGTGTATCATTCGGTGGAATGATCAAACTTTCGGACTGGATAATGAGAGTTTCGGAAAATTAAATATGTCACATGTCACACTTTGAAAGTTTCGGGCCCTTACAAAACTTTCGGTCATATCCAATTTCAAACTTTCGGAGCCAACTGAAGAACATTCGGAAACTCGATATCATGTTCAATGTTCGGAAAAGGGCCAAAAATGATGAGTCTTTCGGATTTTATTTTTGGCTCGTTTACAGCAGCATATAAAAGGGAGTGCCTGAAGTGCTAATTAAGGCCTTTTAAAAAGCAAGCAAAAAAAGGAATCTCAATCGGAATTCAGCTATAGGATTTTTAAGGATACATTGTACAATGAGATTAATCATTACTAACTACTGGTATAGAACTCAAACCTTACTACCTAAGTAGAAGATTCTGGAGATGTGGATACAGCCAAAAAGAGACGAGAAAAAGAGAAAGATGCCTGCGTAAAGAGAGGAAATGGGAAAAACATTGGAAAGAAGAAATTGAGCAGAGATACAACGAACAGATTGGAAGTATGTACCCAAAAAAATGATCAAATCCAAGATCGAAAAGCAATCATGAAAAAATTATAGAATGCGGATATATGCAGAGTACCACAGGCCCCAAAAAGAAAAAGCAGAAACAAAACAAAAGAAAGAAACAGAAAAGAAACACAGAAGCGAAAGCAACAAAACAAGCAGGACACAAACATAAGAGTAAAGAAAGCAGCGAGGACGAAAGTAAGGGGCGAGAAACCCAGGGAAACAAAGAACCAATCCAAAAAGCATACAAAATAACGCTGCATGTATAAAACTGGAGAAGCCCAAGTTGGAAAAAAAAACAAAAGAAGAACAATATCTGCGTATGTGTTTGTATTCATCGTTGATCGTTCGATCGATATTGATCGCCATCGCACAATTGTGGAAGGGGCCGGTGTTGTTGGTAGTGGTGAGTAGTAAGAATCTCGAGACGCTGTCATTTCCCTCACTCGCCGTCCGATTCATCGTTTTCGAATCACAAACGTCGCCACCAGCAGCGCGTGCAACGTCATCTCTTTCCTTTCTTTACTCCCTGTCCTCCCGTCCCTCCCTGTCCTCCCTCGCGTCAGTCGTATCCTGTCCTTCGGTACCGGTCCTATCTTCTTCTGCATTGGTCCTATCTTCTTCCACACCTTCTCTACCTTGAGCCTCAGCCTCGGCAATAGCACCATCACTACCTTCCCTATCCCTTACGACTCCAGCACCTTCTCCAGAACCTCCATCCGAGTCGACTCTCCTACCACTCCCTTCCCTCCTCCAATTCCAATTACCTCCAAGTCCACCACCAGCTCCAACACCCGTAAACATCACTATCCCCTCCTGTTCCTCCCGCTCCTGCTCACCACCACCACCATCCTGCAGCGTCCTCCCCTGTACCGTCCCTTCCTCCCCATCCTGCATCTCCTGCCGTTGATGTTGCTGTTGTCGTCTTATCCACGCTTCATAATCCCCAACCCCAACATCATCCGACACTACCGTCATTATCACCGGCATCCCTCCTCCTCCTAATTCTCCTCCTCGCGCATGTTCATGATACCCAGGTGGCCCTCCATACTTATCATAAGCCGGCAACTCTTCCGGTTTCTCTCTCCCTCCTAATCCTCCTCCTAATCCTCCTCCTAATCCTCCATCCCCATCTTCTCCCTCAACCTCTTCTCCATCAAATCCACGACCACTATCCAACCTCCTCCCTCCTTCATCCACATTCATCGCTCTTGTTACTCCTCTCGTCCCTGCTCTTCCTCCTAAAAACCCTAATCCTAACCTCGTACCTCCTCCTGATTCTGCACCTGATCCTGCTCCTCTCCCTAACGCATCCAACTCAGCCGAAAGAGGTACGTTCGCTAGATCAAGTGCTACCGGTGGAGACCTTCTCGTCGTCGTCCTCAAAGCCCCGACACCAACACCAACATACGCGCTTGGCGGTACACGTAAATCATAACGACCTCTTACAACATTCACATGCTCAGTTACTCTGGATGACGAGGAAGAAGAAGTGGATTGAGAGGATTGACGGGAATGGCAAAAGAGTCGGTTGTTGCTGCGGCTGTGATGGTGATGACAGCATGCATGACCACGATGGGGATGACGGCGAGAGCAACGACGGAAACAGGAGAAGAATTCGGAGAGGGGACGTTGTTGGATGTGAAGTTGGTTTAAGCTTTTTTTGTGATGTGTGGAGGGTGAGGAAAGGGAGGAAGGGAAGGGAAGGAGGGAAGGAAGGAGGGAAGGAAGGAGGTGAGTAAATTATAGTTTTTTACATTTTTTGAGAGGGAAAGCCAAAGTCGAGATCAAATTTCCGAAAAAAAGAAAAAGATATAAGAGCGCATCTGAAACAAGAAATTTGGCCATTTTTCAGGCTCAAATCCATTGAAATTTACTTTGTATGGAAGGTCGGGCCATCCAAAATTCTCGCTGCAAATGCGCTCTATAGAAAGAAATAGAAAAGTATAAGATTCCGGGGTAGCTCCGACTCACCGACGTACGATTAAACCGAAAACGAGGATGATAGCCAACGACAGAAATATCCACTCTAACACCCTCTAAAAATTGTCAATCACACCGATCCCATCAAAAGCCGAGCCAAGGCAATCCCAAATCCAAGTTTGGACACAGAAACGAAACGCGAGGCGATCGTGCGTGTCGTGATAATGCGTAGTTGAAGAATGCGATGGACGGATCGATGGGGTATCGAATATACATTGTTGTTAGCGCGATGAGACACAAAACCAAGGAAATCGAGCGAGAAGCATTGGTATGAGACCATTAGACCAAAGAGGACGACACAGAAACGAACGCAAGGCGATCATGCGTAATGCGCAGTTGAGCAGATGAATCGATGAACGGATCGATGGGTTATAGAATATACATAGTTGTTAGCACGATGAGAAACAAAACCGAAGAAATCGAGCGAAAACCATCGGTATGAGACCAAAAGAGAAAAAGAGGACGCAAAGCGGACATATATGTACCTTGGGAAGCTCTGAGCTGTCCTTACTCGGTTGAACTCGTTGACTTGGGTCTGGGAAGAATGCACTGGTGTTTACAGTAGATGTTGATGTGGGAGAAGAAGGGGACGGGGAACCGGTGACTGTCGAGGTTATGGATCCAGAGGATGGAGAAGAAGAGGTAGGAGAAGAGGAAGTTGAAGGTGAAGGGGAACTCGTGTTTGTAGACGTCGTCGATGATGAAGACGACGTCGCGGTTGGTTGTTGTTGGCGTGGAATGATCGTAACTCGAGGCATCCTGTCAATGGTTTTTTCGTCAAATTGTCGTGAAAATTTCTCTCGTCTACGCGAATTTAATCAGATACTCAACAAAAGAGAGGATTGAGGACTACACCAACCTTATATTCCTCGTAGTCCTAGTCGGACCACCACGTCAGTCGGACGGTGGTGGGAGTCAAGAGGAAAGAAAACAGAGATGTGCAGAAGAGGGTTCCCCGCTCGTTCCCGCTCGGCAAAGTCCGGCTAAATTAACTCCAAAAGTGGTCTCATGAACGTCAAGTGACGTAAAAATGACTCTAATCCGATGACTTCATCGATTCTTCTTTGCGCGTTACGTCGGACCCTTCCTCCCGATTTATGGACTTGCACCGTGATGTACATGGACCAATGGACCAATGTACAGTATAAGATGCTGGTCGAAATAATCAAAAAAGAGAACGTTCATCCTTGTTCTAACTTCTTGTACTCACCGACCGTCGGGCATATCGAATAGGGGTAGGAAATTGAGCATAAAGTCTACGAGTTGACATCCGCGGAACTGAATGTACAACTGGCGTTCCATCAATCAATCAACTGTGAACTGCGTTAATATGTACGTACATAAGTCGCTCTGCAAAGTACCGGCGCAGTGAAGGAAAAAAAGTACATACTTAGTTAGATATTGACATGTAGACTAGTAAATACTAAAGTACTAACGCCTCGTTCCCTCTTCGTTCCCAGCACCTCTAAAACTTACACTTAAGTAGGACCACTCAATCTTCCCCTCTTCAACTTGAGTACCAGGACCTCCTTCGATAGACCAACCAACTAAAAGCCTATCCACAGACTCGAGCCAAGGACGGTACTTATATGTTGGATATTGACCCAATCATGTCGAAACATTAATGTAAAATTACCAACTCCGTTATGGTGTAGTGGCTAACATTATCGCCTCTCATGGTAAATTGATCTGGAAGCGCGATAGCCCAGGGTTCGATTCCCTGTAACGGAACTCACGAATTATTGTCCTTGTTTTTTTCTTCTTTTTCTGGTACGAGAGCCAGTCGTTATAGCTAGTAGTCATTTACACTCACCTATAAGGGAAAGAAATTTCTAACTCCCGATCAACGTTCAAATTCAACACCTCCCATCTCCTACTCTCCTAAGTACTACTATTCCTAGACCATGTAAGATTTCCATATAATAGTACAAGGCCGCTCTCCTCACTTCTGGAGGTTCACAAAACTTTACGAACAATATGAAAAAAAGTCTATTTCTTTGATCCAGGTCCGATTACCTGTGAAAAAGAAAAAAAAAACTCAAAATGGTCTTCTGTTCCGTACTTTTTCTTTACTTAAAAATCCTCCTTCATCTCCGTTGTTGACCCCGATCAGTGTATATATGTTTATATCGTCAGTACTCTGCCCAGGGGAGACTAAGTACTATGTTTGGAATAATACCCTCGTTCCCAGCACCTCCAAAACTTACACTTAAGTAGAACCACTCAATCTCCCTCTTTACGAGTCAACAATTACTCACCCAACCAACTCGAAGCTTATCCCTACCCCACAGCCTCAAGCCAAGGACCATACTTATTTATGTGAAGTTAGGAATCGACCCAATCTTACTGAGATGTCAGAATACATATAAACTTCTTAAACAACTCCGTTATGGTGTAGTGGCTAACATTATCGCCTCTCATCTGGATAAATACTGATTTGAGACCGCGATAGCCCAGGGTTCGATTCCCTGTAACGGAATGAACACCCGGGCGGCGTTTTTTCTTCTTTTTCTTTTGTTGTGAGAACTAAGTATGACAGAAATGGCTAGTAACCATTTATACTTGCCTATAAAGAGAAAAAATGCCGTTCAATGCTCAGATTCAATGATCATATACCTCTCCAGGGGCCCATATAAGTACAACTTGGTCATGGACTCAACAAACAAAGAAAAATTTACTACTATCTCCTACTCTCTCACTAGTACTACTGTACCATTACGATCAACGATTCACGTGTGATATGCGTTATACATTGATTTTGATTTTGTCCGACAGCAGTTCATATACCCAAAATGTGTGTTACGGGCGTGAATACCAGCATAACCGGCTGGCCAGAAATGCCTTTTTTTTTTGGGAAAATGTGTGACGAAAACGTCATGAATTTCAGTTCAAGACCTCAGAGCTCGATGATTCGTAAAAAAACTCAAAACGGATTTCTGTTCCGTACTTTTTTTTCTTTTGGAAAACCCTCTTTCATTTCCGTAATTCCGTGATATATTGCCCCCAGTATTAGCAGTGATAGCAACGGCCACTCGGCATTGCAGAGAGAAAGTGTGTATATGGCTCGGCTCCTGGTAGCGACTAAATTAATCTGATCTACTAGACAGACGAACAACTCAAAGACCTAGCCCTGTTATCGAAATTCTGTGGTCCAGGATCCCAATCACACTGGTCAGAGTAGGGTAGTTCCCCGACATGAGACCATTCTCGTCCTGACTGTTGGCAGCAGCCGCGGTAGCGCAGAAAAACGTTGGCTAGATTGTAATATCGTCCCCGAGTTTTGAACAAAACACCGTCACGTGTAGATATTCAATGACAAGGACGACATCGCGGTTGGTTGTCGTTGTTGGCATGGAACGATCGTTAACTCGAGGCATCCTCTGGGTCTGGTCTTGTTTCGTCAAATTGTTCGTTAAATTTCTCTCGTCTACGCGAATTCGATCAGATACTCCACGGAAGGAAGGATTAGAATTACACCAACCATAGGCTTATATTCCTCGTAGTCCTAGTCAGACCATGTGTGTGCTACAGACACTGTACCTCTCACGCATGCTTTTACATCTCTCTCAAATGTTGACTGCATGAAATGTAATCATAATTTGTCATGTTTCCCAGGGTCTGGGAACGAGTGACCAAATTTGTAGTTGTTCCGAGGTCCCGGTATTCATAGTCACCAAATTTGGCCCTTGGGAGGGTAGCTGTAGTGTGGGTGAACGATTTCCTTTTTGCAAACGGGAGCGAACGGATCAAGAGTGTTCGAGAGCCCCAGTCCCTCCTTACGTCGGAGTCGGGGATTAAACGGCATTCTCCGTGTTGAAACCTTAATTTTTCGAGATGATGAATTGGTGGTCACATGCACTTGACTTTTCTTTCACGTCGTCTCACCGAGCACCATAGTCCGACATCAGTGCTTCATAAAGTTTTCAAAACCCATTGCCACCTGTGAGAATCATGAGTGATTCCAATCTCAACTCAATGTAAGAGAATTTTATCAGTTCCTTCTTTTGAGAAAAGATTGATGTAGGAGTCATTAGTGCTGGAAATAATGAGTATTGGCTATTTCAGTATATGGAAGTATGCAAACTCACACTGATAAAATAATAGGGGTTGTGATCAAACTACCTCTGGGAAAGCTCAATCAAAGAATAGGTAAGCAAGTTTGGAAATCAGAAAATAACTGTTGTCAAAAAGACTGAACATAAATAGATTCTTTGAAAACAATCAAGGCAATATTGTCAATTCCGCAGTCAATAATGTAGGACGTGATCAAATACACTATCATATGTCTGGTATTATTATATTTCTACATTAAAACAGCACAAATAGTCATCTGTATTTTCTTTAGATACAAAAATTCAAGATATCCGAAAATGGATTGGTGCACCAGATCCTTCAACTAACTTTGTTGCAGCCTGCAATAACATGACAGAAGGAACCGGCCTCTGGCTTGTGAATGGTCCAGAATTTCATGAATGGAAAAGCCAAGGTGGTTTATTCTGGTTGCAAGGCAAAGGTTGGTGCAGTTTACATATTCATTGACATATCAATACTGATATCAATTACCCAGCTGGTTCTGGAAAAACATTCCTCTGGTAAAATTTTCTCTGTCAACATTATATATTGGACTAACATAAATACAGCACAACAGCTATTAAAACTCTTCAAGCCTCTGGAATACCAGTGTTCTATTTCTATTTTGATTCTCTGGATTCTAGCCAATCCAAGACAGGATATGAAGGACTGGTTTCATCTCTTCTTGCTCAAGTTGGTACTCATTCAGCATATAACCACACTGACTTGGAGAGTCTCTATAAGGACAATGAACAAGGGCACACCAAGGTCCCTGCTCACAATATGAAGATCACTATTCAGGAGACTCTCAAGAAATGTCCCAAGACTCAGCCCACATACATTTTCCTTGATGCAATGGATGAATGTAAAAACAACAACCTACTTGAAGTTAAGAACTTGGTCCAGGATCTACTTATGCTACAAAATATTCATATCTTTATCACCAGTCGCCACTCTGACTTAGACTATAGACAGGCCTTTACTGGTTGGAACATGTCTTTGGATTCTCTTGGTAGAAATGGGGATATCTCAGTACATATCAACAAGACACTTATCTCAAATGATTCATTCAAGGGTTTGGAAGAGGAAATACAAGCTGAACTACTTGAGAAGGCTGATGGACAGTAAGTTTATTTTTATCATGTAATACAAGATAAGCTGACAGGTGATGAAATGCAGGATACGTTGGGTGGACTGCCAGCTGACATCTCTCCAGGAGCTTGGGACTAAAAGGGCAATTAAAGAGGCTCTTGGAACTCTTCCCAAAACCTTAGAGGACATATATGCTCAGGCACTAGATAAAATTCCTAGGGAGCATAAAAATGAAGCTAAATGCCTTCTTCAATGGATTTTGTTCTCTTACCAACCACTCACAGTTGAAAATGCCATGGAAGTTCTAGCAATTGATCCAGAAAAACAAGTAGTAAATAAATATAGGGAAAATCTAGCAGAGAATAATCTTTCCAAGATCATTAGTTCAACTATAGTTGTGGTTACAGGAGGTGAACACAATTTTGAGAGGAAAATTCAACTAGCACATCCATCAGTAAAGGAATTTTTGAATGGAAGAGGGTCAAGTAGCTCATATAAGATCTATGAAGAAAAAATACTGGCACATAAAGTGATTGCACAATCATGCATAGTTTATTTGCTGCACATTATGCAAGCTGAATCAGTACAGATGGTCTATGCAAAATTTCCACTAACATGGTATGCTGTACATTACTGGGCAATACATGTGGAGACAGATGAAAATCTAGATGTGGAAATGACCAAACTAGTTATGAGACTGTTAACTTTCCAAAATGATTTTTTGAATAAAGTTTTATGTTGGGGTGAGCCACATGCCAATTGGAGAGGAGAGTGTAGAGTCAGTAAAAGTAGTGATTCAGCATTATATCATGTATGTCTAAGAGGAATGAAAGTCATTGTAAAACTACTAGTAGATACAGGAGCTGATTTGAATGCCCAAAGTGGTGATTATGGAAATGCCCTGCAGGCAGCTGCATATGGAAAAAATGAAGAGATTGTGAAGCTGCTGGTGGATGCAGGAGCTGATGTGAATGCACAAGGTGGTAAATATGGAAATGCCCTGCAGGCAGCTGCATATGTAAAAAATGAAGGGATTGTAAAACTGCTGGTGGATGCTGGAGCTGATGTGAATGCCCAAGGTGGTGATTATGGAAATGCCCTACAGGCAGCCACATATGTAAAAAATGAAGGGATTGTGAAACTGCTGGTGGATGCAGGAGCCAATGTGAATGCCCAAGGTGGTCAATATGGAAATGCCCTGCAGGCAGCTGCATATCAAGGACATAGAGGCATTGTGAAGCTGTTGGTGGATGCAGGAGCTGATGTGAATGTCCAAGGTGGTAATTATGGAAATGCCCTGCAGGCAGCTGCATATAAAAAAAATAAAGAGACTGTGAAGCTGCTGCTGGATGCAGGAGCTGATGTGAATGCCCAAGGTGGTCAATATGGCAATGCTCTACAGGCAGCTATATATATAACAATTAATGAACGGTTTATAAAGCTGCTGCTGGATACAGGAACTGATTTGAATGCCCAAGTTGGTCAATATGGAGATGCCCAAGGTAGTAATCATGGAAATGCCCTGCAGGCAGTTGCATTTCAAGGAAGTGAAGGGATTGTGAAGCTGCTGATGGATGCAGGAGCTGATGTGAATGCCCAAGGTGGTGTTTCTGGAAATGCCCTGCAGGCAGCCATATATGTAAAAAATGAAGGGATTGTGAAGTTGTTGCTGGATGCAGGAGCTGATGTGAATGCCCAAGGTGGTGACTATGGAAATGCCCTGCGGGCAGCTGTATATGCAAAAAATGAAGGGATTGTGAAGGCACTGGTGGATGCAGGAGCTGATGTGAATGTCAAAGATGATGATTATGGAAATGTCCTGCAGGCAGCTGTATATGTGATAAATAAGGGGATTGTGAAGGTGTTGGTAGATGCAGGAGCTAATGTGAATTTCCAAGGTGGTAAATATGGAAATGTCTTGCAGACAGCTGTATATGTAAAAAATGAAGAGATTGTGAAGGTGCTGGTAGATGCAGGAGCCAATGTGAATGCCCAAGGTGGTCAATATGGAAATGCCCTGCAGGCAGCTGCATATCGTCAACATAAAGAGATTGTTAAGCTGCTGATTGGTGCAGGAGCTGATGTGAATGCTCAAAGTGGTCGATTCCGAAATGCCCTGCAGGCAGCTGCATATCGACAACATAATGGGATTGTGAAGGTGCTGGTGGATGCAGGAGCTGATGTGAATGCCCAAGGTGGTCAATATGGAAATGCCCTGCAAGCAGCTGCATATGTAAAAAATGAAGGGATTGTGAAGGTGCTGGTGGATGCAGGAGCCAATGTGAATGCCCAAGGTGGTCAATATGGAAATGCCCT